AAGCAGGAAGCTGGATGAGAAGTGGAGCAGCCAGGATAAAAACTGAATCCCATATAGGAGTCCAGCTGTTGCAAGACAAGGAAAGATTCTGCTACTAGGTTACAGTACCAGGCCCCAAATGAATAAATCTTTAAAAAATAAATAAGTGATTTAAGCTAAAAAAAAAAAGTGGGGGTGGGAGCTGTGGTACATCAAGTTATAGTGTTGTGTGGAATGCCTAGATCCTATATCAGAGTGTCAGGTGAGGTCCCAGCTGCTGTCTCGGGTCGTTTCTTGCTCCGCACAGTCTGGATAGGCAGGAGATGATGTCCCACGTGCTTGGGATCCTACCATCCAAATGGGAGACCAAAATGGAGTTCCTGGCCCAATCCTGGACGTTAAAGCCCTTTGGGAAGGGAATTAGCAAACTGACATTTGTCTATGTGTCCTTCTCTGTGCCTCTCACTATTTTGAATAAATGAATAAGTAAAAAAAAAAAAAAAAAAGAGCAACTACATGGTCTTTCCTTTAACCGTAACACTGTTCTGAAAAACACTGGACAAAGTTAAAAAAAAAATCTGGGCCATTGCAGTTAGCTAATCTACTGTCTGTGGCAGCAGGTCTAGACCCAGCTGCTCCGATTCTCTCATCTAGCTCCCTGCTTAAGACCAGGAAAGGCAGCAGACGATGGCCCAAGTCCTTGGGTCCCTGTACTGATGAGGGAGACCCACAAGAAGCGCCTAGATTCCTGCTCCAGATGGGCTCAACGCCGACCACTGTGGCTATTCAGGGAGTAAAGTAGCAAAGTATGGAAGATCCCTCTCTTTCCTGTTCTCTGTAACTCTACCCTTCCAAAAACCAAAAACTAAATAGCAGTCCTAGGTATGAATGCATGATGTGTACACAATGATGAATCAGTTGATGCATTTTCTCTCTTCCTGACAACAGATGCCACAAAAGGCACAGAAGGAAAAACAAAAATGATCCCAAGGATTCTGTAATATTCTATTTCATTTCTTTTGCATCAAAAAATTGACACAAGAAGGCAAAATATTATGTTTTGCTACATTAAGCACTTGTCTGTTCTTCAAATTTACGGACAGAATAGGAATGACGAAAGCTAGGCTGGGACACACTGCAGAAAAAAGACAACGCCTGCCCGCATGTCACTGTCTCATTCTAAGAAACCTCAGGTAAAAAACACATGTGTCCTGGAAGTTAAACAGTTACTAAGAACATCAGGGTCTGACCCTTGCCCTGCATCCTCACTCTGGCTGCTGGTGCAGGCTTGGAGGCAGCAGCGAACCATGTAGGCCACATGGCAGACCTAGCCCGAGGACTTCAATCCCAGCTTTGGCTTAGGCCAGGAGCATCCTCCTGGCATTTGGGGAATGAAAACGCAGATGGGAGATTCTCTCTGTGTCTCTCAGAAAATTTTATACAGGAAGGATAAAAAGTGAGGGAGGAAATGGAAAGAAAACAAAGGAAGCCAGAAAGGAACAAACAAGGCCGAGACAGTCTGGCTCTCAAGAGGAAAAAGCAAACAAACAAATGAAGCACCTTTACAAAAAAAAAAAAAAAAAAAAAACCCTTATACAAAGTTGATGTTTGAGGCCAGCATTTGGGGGCAATAGGTAAAGCCCACTGCCTACAACAACAGAATACCATATGGGCACAGAGATGTGTCCTAGCTGCTCCACTTCCAATTCAGTTCCCTGAAAACTCACCTAAGACAGCCCAAGTCCTTAGGTCCTAATACCCACATGGGTGATCCAAATACAGGATTTTTTGCTTGTTTTTCAAAGATTTACTTAAAAAAAAAAAGAAAAGATTTATCTGTTTTCATTGCAAAGTCAGATATATAGAGCAGAGCAGAGACAGAGAAGAAGATCTTCTATCTGATGATTCACTCCCCAAGTGGTCACAATGACTGGAGCTGAGCCGATCTGAAGCCAGGAGCTTCTTCCGGGTCTCTCACACAAGTGCAGGGTCCCAAGGCTTTGGGCTGTCCTCGAATGCTTTCCCAGGCCACAAGCAGGGAGCTGGATGAGAAGCAGGGCTGCTGGGATTAGAATCGGCACCCATATGGGATCCTGGCACATTCAAGGTGAGAATTCTAGGTGGTACAACATTGGGCCCAAGATTTTTTTTAATTTTATCTTATTATTTTCTTTTAATTTTTTCTTTTATTTTGGTAATCTTTATATAGTTGATTAGGGCACAAAGGGTCAAGGGCTACAGGAAAGTGGGTAAGACCATTGTTTCAACATAAACACTATTTTTTTCTGTATCAGGGTAAAGGAAGAGATAAAGGAAAAAACTCCACCCAGCCTCCCACCCATCCCAGGTCCAAGATGTGGGGCATGCCCTGAGAGTCCTGCTCAAGCAGTTTTGATAGTTCAACAGTTCTAAATTGCTGCCAGTCTCACCATTCCAAGCACAATGAAATCTATTCAGAATCCACTGGCTGACATAGTCTCTTCATGGTTGGGGTTCTGAGATCAGCAGTTCAGTTGGAGGGATCCCCAGAGAAACCTCATCTGAGGTGATCCCAAACCTGATTCTTCTGTGTGCTTGCCAGCACCAGGTCTGGCACAGTCTGTCACCCCAATCAGCTTATGCACATGCTGGTGGTTGCAACTGCTGGGTAGGTTCTGTCTCCAGCCTCGTGTTTTACAAAACCCAATGGGTGTTTCAGTCCAGCCCTTTTCTGCCCACTTCATACTCGGCCCTCACACAAACCAGTGGGAGCTGCAGCCCAGCTGGGGCGACTCTCCATAACTCCCACCAGGCCTGCTCCCTACCCTGATTCCCGTACTTGTTAGTCTGTCCCACAACCCATTTAGCTCTCGTACGTGTCAATGGGCATTAAAGCTAAGTTCAACCCAACTTGCCCTATTATCCAGTCCACACACATACTGGCGGTGCTGTTCTGTCCAGCACCAATCCTGGTTTTCATATTCTCCATTGGGAGTAGTAATCCAAGAGGGAGGTGCCCTACTAGACCATTCCCAGTCCCGGATTATGCATTTTCCAGGTGTTCTGTGGTTTAACTTAACAGAATTAGCCTCCAGTGCCAGCCTCTGCCAGCTGATGCTGCAACAAAGCCCAACCAACCCTCACCCACACTAATTTATGCTTACACCAGTAGGAACAATCAGCCCACCCTGGCTTTTCCCTGATCTAGCTCACATGAAACCCAGGTGTTGTAGCCAGGTGGAGAGCAGGCAGAACCTCATGCCCAACAGGCACACTGGCCATCCAAATCCTAGGATTCGCTCACAGTGTGGCAACGGTGTAGCAACGGTGCCCATGGGCTGAGTCTCGGGCATCGGGTCCAACCTGGCCCAGGTATTTTCCACAAGTTGATCGCCACCACTGAGGAGGGCTGCTGTCACCTCAGCCGCCAAGGTCAAACTCCTACTTTGTAGTTTCCTGCTGCCAGAGATGGTGGTTGCAGTGTGGGGCTAGAGACCTTAATACCGTCCCAGGATTTCCTCATGGTATACTCACCATTGGAGGAGAATCTCTCTCCGGCCTCCTGGAGCTGGGACTCTCTCACCATGTGGCGACAGTGCCCATGGGTTGAGTTCTGGGCATTGGGTCCCACCTGGCCCGGGTACTCTCTGCAAGCAGGTTGCCACCACTACAGAGGGTTTCAGTCTACTGAGCTGCCAAGGTCAAACTGATTTACTTATTTTTATTAGAAGAGGACAGAGAAGGACAGAAAGATCTTCTGTTCACTGATTCACTCTCCCATGTGGACACGACAGCTCTGAGCCGATTAGAAGCCAGGATCCAGGAGCTTCCTCTGGGTCCCAAGGCTTTGGGACATCCTTGACTGCTTTCCCACACCACAGGCAGGGAACTGGATGAGAAGTGGGACTGCCGGGACAAGAATCAGCACCCATATGGGATCCTGGCACATACAAGGCAAGGATTTAGCCACTGAACCATCAAGCCAGGCCCTAGTTTTAAGCTGTAGCTTTGGCATGGCCCAGCCCTGGCCATTGTAGCAATCTGGGAGTACATCAGTACAGGAAAGACATTCTCTCTGTAACACTTCAAATAAATAAATCTTTAAAAAGAAACATCTGATACTTGTTAAATACGATTTTACGTTTATATTTTTAAATTTTGTTTTATTCTTGATATAAGGTATTAAACCCTAAGACTAAAGCTTTATTTTGTTTTTAAAAGTTTATTTATCTGAAGGCAGAGTTACAGGGTGAGAAGGAGAGACAGAAGTGGAGGAGAGGGATGTAAGTGGGCTCATACAAAAAGGCTTCAGTCCTGGCGATTCCATTTTTCACCCTGTTTCCTGCTAATAATCCATCTGGGAAAAACAGAAGCTGGTCCACGTGCATGGGTGCCTACCACTCATGTACAAGATCTAGACCTTGGTCTGTCCAAAGCCCAGCCATTAGTCATCTGGGGAAGGAACTAGCAGATGGAAGGTATCTCTTCTGCCTCTCAGACTCCCACACTATCACTCCCTCGCTCCCCTCCTTACTTCTTCCCTCTCCTGTAACTCTTTCAAATTAATTAATTAAACATATACATTTTTTATCTATTTAAGTGAAATTTGGTGAAGAGCGAATACAAGGAAAAAAATCCCATAACTAAAGGAGTTTCCAGATTCATTAGTTTGAGTCTGGCACCTTAGACAGCTCAGCCACCCTGACACATCCAGATTCATTAGTTTGAAGACATACATATAAACTGTATGTCGTTATTGGAGTGGCAATATCAGCAGTAATACCTAACTATTGAACTATCAAAACCACTTGAGCAGGACCCTAGGATGGCTGGGAGGGTGGATGTGGCTTATCCCCTTATCTCTCTCCTCCCCTCAGATACAGGAAGAAAAAAAGAGAATGTGAAAACAATGGTCTCACCCACTTTCCTCCATCCCTTGACCCTTTGACCCTAATCAAATACATAAAAATAATCAAAAATAAAACTTATACAATTAAAAAAAGAAAAAAGAAATTGTACAAAGCACAAACATGAAGCCATACCTTTCAGGCCTAAAGTCTGCAATTGAAACAGCTTTCCCAGCTCAAAAGGTAGAACTCGTAACTGGTTGTAATTTAAATGGAGCTCCCTGTTGATGTAAAAATTCCAGGATGTCACAAGATATATTAATCTTTAACTAAAATCAATATATGTTTCTAGATATGAGCACCTATGAATGATAAAATCTCCTTATCTAATATCTAGTCAGTCCTTCTTCTACATGTGTTTTTTTTTTTTTAAATCAAACTTCCATAGACCAATACATCTGTAAACTACAGGAAAAAATGTATTTCTTAAAAACGAAACAAAGCAAAGAGAAAACCAGCACACAAGCCCCAGTGTTGCTGTCTGCCCCATATGCTGACCTGAACTGCACCCACCCCAAGGCCTTACTCAAGAGCACTGGCTAGTACACCTGGTGCCTCCCACTCACAGCAAGGAAACAGAGTGTGATCTGTGCAAGAGAACGAACCACTCCAAAGAAATCACAACAGCTGCACAATTAACTCCATGCTAACTATGTCTCCAAAGTTACTGAAGAAAAACCAGCTACTTTAACTGCTAATGGTTATTGCTTCCTATTTAATTCTAAATGTATGACACAGTAAAGTGAGTTCTTCAAGTAAATCCATCTTAGCAGATTAAAAACAGTCACAATACATACTAAATCTGTAAGCCTAAAAAATGCCAAGAGTCTAGAAGCAACAGAAAAAACAATTTTTGTAAGCAAAACAACTTTCTTCTTACTGTGTGGCTAGTGCTAGAATGTGGCAGAAAAACCAAAGACAAGGCAGGTAAAAGGATATGGAACAACATATGATATGGAACATTAGGGCTAACACAATAGCCGACATTTGGCTTTATATTTAATTTGGATAGATCTTATCTGCCTTATAAAATAAATCATTCATTAGAATACATTATGTACCACATGGAGTGTACAGTTTTTTGGTTTTTTTTTTTCATTATCTAAAACACTCTAATTTCAGGCTAGGAAGCTTACTCAAGATCAGGAAACTTACAAACAGCAATCAGGATTTAACTGATATTCTGTGCAACTCCAAATTCTACATAGACTAAAGTCCTCCAAATTTAAGAAGTAAGCCTAACTGCAAAATGCTGACTAGCAAACTGAGAAGTAAAGACACACTATAGAAGCCTCTCTACTCCCCCATTAAAGGATTTCCAACAGAACAGTGAACTGTATCTCAACTGACACACTGGAAGGACTCCAATGGAACAGTGAACTGTACCTTGACAGTATGATATTAGATTTTCTATTTTTCCTATACATACAATGCCTTGAATCACTAGCAGAAACTTAAACTTGTAACAGTTACTAAAAGTGTACACGACCTGTGATAATATTGGGGAAAAAGCAGAAGGAGGAAAGGAGGGAAAAGGAGGAATCCCTGTATCTACAAAACATGTCCTGGTAAGAATAATAACTACTAACAAGTAAATAACAGAAAGAACTACTCCTAGGATCCTTCAAACTCAAACTTTAATATTATGGTTTTACCAACTAGCAAGGTTGTCATTTAATCTGCCCAAAAACCTTTCCGTGACGTATGTATTGATGTAATATACTTCTCTTCCAATGTTTTCAATGGCTACTCCAGTTTCCTAACCAACTATACTGTCTTTTGTTCAGGGAGTATAGAGATTGTAGCATAGGAATCTGCATACCTGAGTGACACCATGTTTCCGAGTTCTGCCGGTAAACTACGGATTTTATTGGAGGACAGGTCCAGATACACCAGGTTGTGAAGCTTGGCAATGTCTGAAGGAATGCGGGACAGGGAATTGTCACTTAGATGCAAAGCTGTTAAGTGAGTTAGTGACCACAAAGATGAACTTAAACTTCTTACATTTCCTGTAAGAGAAGAAAAAAAGGGGAGGAAGGGAAGAATTAAAGATTGTAACATGGTGTTTATATTTTGGTCACCTTATTAATGTAAGACTGACTTTTTGATGAGCAACTTAATGATGGAATTTGTCTAAAAATGTAGAAGGGGAAATCTTATTCTAGAACAATTCACTGCTAGGATTAAATTATATGAGAGCTCTTCATAGAAAATACATATGAAGAAATTACGTATAAAGAAAAATGCATTATGAAAATCTGTGCAATTTTAAAAGCTTTTGCACCCATTTTTTCATTTCACTTTCTGAAGACTCCTCATGTATCAATACTTAATATACTAATTTTGTTTGCACAACCAGAAATAATTTATCCTTGAAAATGACCTCCAATATGACGGGTGCATAAATACTTAGTAGTAATATATATATCCAATATTATGAACACGATACAACTGATTTACACAAACAAATCAAACTCTAGGATTTCTGAGACTGAAACAAGAATTTTGCTGAAACAGAAAACAAAAGATTTCCCTGAAAGAAAACAGAAAACAAAACACAGAAAACACAAAACACAAAACAAAATTATCTCAGTTTAGTTGAATTCCAAGAACAGTGTACCAGATAACAATATCAAGAACTATCTTACTAAAAATCTGTAATGTATAAGTAAAAATTCTTGTCCCAAAACTTTTCAGATAGTGAACTAAAACTGCACAATAAAGCAACAGTAGAAAAAGAATTCAGTGACTAAGAACAGAAGGATACAATCTTTCCGATATGGCTGCAGCATTTGGACCCTGCCATGGATACAGGCAGGAAGCTCTTGTTTTTGTCCTGTATCAGCCTTGGCTGCTGCAGCCTCTCTCTCTCCCTCTCTCTGTGACTATTTCACATTAATACAATTTTTTTAAAGATTTATTTTTATTATTTTTATTGGAAAGGCGGATATACAGAGAGGAGAGACAGAGAGGAAGATCTCCCGTCCGATGATTCACTCCCCAAGTGAGCGCAATGGCCAGTGCTATGCCGATCCGAAGCCAGGAGACTCTTCCGGGTCTCCCACGCGGGTGCAGGGTCCCAAAGCCATGGGCCATCCTCGACTGCTTTCCTGGGCCACAAGCAGGGAGCTGGAAGGGAAGCGGGGCTGCCGGGGATAGAACCAGCGCCCATATGGGATCCCGGGGTGTGCAAGGCAAGGACCTTAACCACTTGCGCCACCGCGCTGGGCCCCACACTAATACATTTTTAAAAAAATTAACAGCAAATAACAAAACAATAATATTGTTTCTAAGTAACTGCATTTGTTACGGGGTGCAGCCAGTGACAGCCAGCACCCATTGACAGTGGGCAAATGGAATGTGTCTGTGCCCCTACCCTCTGTCCTGAAGGTGGGGCCTAACTGCAATGAATGTTAACTCCATCCTTACCAAGCCCTCAGCCACTCTCCTACCACCTAGGTGTTCATTCCTGCCCACCTGGGACTCTCACCTATCATCTGAGAGGGGACGGTATTTTATTGTTGTGCAACTAATTCCTTCACAAGCATCATTAAAGAAGCCCATTCTCTTTCTGGTCAGGTGCTTCCATTGCTCTGACACCTTGACTCTTGGCTGACCCAGGACAGGTAAATCCCCTGAGCATGGTCCCTGTGTACTGCTTAAATGGGACAATGGATATAGCAATGTTCTTTCTAATTTGTGTACTACCAGGAGTTTCAAGACAGGTGAGGCCTAGCACTGATGGAATGTGGGCAGAAAAGCCAAGGAAAGGTGAATGTCTGCAGCTTTTTAAGTGTGTCTAGGTTATTAGTTGCATGTCTCTCAGGGTAACTTTATTGTTGGGGAACCTGGGACATAGGTCTTCAGCTTAACGGATGGACTTAACAGGTAATGCCATTTGTTCCTCTTGGGTTTATGTTTGGTAGGATTATGATGGGTTGGATTGCCATACATACTTGTGATTTGCTATTTCTAATGTGCTCTATTATCACCACGCTTAGTTAATAAAGACTCCTTAATAAGCCATAGACATGTCTGAAGTGATCTTGCTCACACCTCAAAACACACTGAAAACTAGTTACTGCAATACAAAAATATATATTATCCAGCAAGGTGAAACTGACAATAATTGGAACTCATTTAAAATTTTCAGAAATGTAAACCAGAATAAAAATCCACAATAAAAAAATAAATAAATTCCAGTTTAAGAGAATAATGGTATGAATAGATATATATTAAAATGATTTTACTGCATTCCAGTCAAGAGGATGCATGACAAACCACAGTAAACATAGATAGAAACAACAGCACACTCTTACTGAACTTCTAATATAGAAAAACAGCACAGGATTAGCAAAATTACATGCCACAGATGAGCAAATTCAAAGGCATCAAAAGAAACTACACAAAAAGAGAAAAGGCACTAGGGGCCAGCTTTGTGGAGTGAGGGCTACGCTAACACCTGCAGCACAGACATCCCAAAGGGACGCCAGTAGTCGTCCTAGCTGATCGATTTCCAATCTAGCTCCTTGCCAAAGCATCCAAGAAAACAGAGGACAATGGCTCAAACCTTCGAGTTCCTGCGCCCATGTGACCTGCAAGAAGCTCCTGGCTTCAGTCAGGCCCAGCAATGGCCACTGTGGTTTTTTGGGGAGTGAGATAAGCCATCCACTCGAAACTTGGTGAGTCATGATCCCAGGCAGGGGATGAGCTGGCGGAGCCTCAGCCGACCCAGAGGAGACAGAGAGTTAGAAGCATTGTTTTTCACGAGTATCCCCACCTAGATCCCCCACAGCGATGGACCTCAGAAGGGCTGGAGACCCCAGGGGTGGGCGAACCAGGCAGAGGTGGCAGCTGAGAGGACCCCCCCCAGACTCACTCCCCGAGAGAGCTGCATGGAGGGCGTACAAACCTAGTCAGTGTCCGCCCCTGCAGAATCTACAGCGAACAAAACCTTGAGGGTGCTAAAGATCCTCCTGAGCAGAGGGGGCACGCTGAGATCGCACGGAAACTGCTTGGCGGCAGTGGCTCCAGTGGCTCTGGCAGAAGGAATCCCCAGCAGAGAAAACAGAGGGGGTGCCAGAGATCTTAGCAGGCCTTGGTACTGACATGAGAGCCCTTGGTGGCCTGACGCTGGTTCATAAAGTCAGAACCCTTGGTGGCGGCAAAGGCGAAGGTAAGCACAGGGTTCGCACGGAGAAAGCCCCAAACCGGCTCCCTCCCAAGGGTACTCCAGCCTGAGACCTGCTGAGGGTCTTCCAAATCCGCCCAAGCAGAGACAAGGACCCCCAAGGCTATAGAGTTTAGCTCCTGTTACCCGCCCCAAAGAGCGCACCTGAGACAACACCATAGCCAACAGACCACAGGGGAACCCAGCTGTGGAGGGGATTATACATCCAGGGGTAAACAAAGCTACCCACCCAGTCAGCCCTCGCCTGTCGTCCCCAGTAGAGCACGGAGAATTATGCTTCTGTCTGCACACTAAGCAGCAGTACCTGGACCACACCTACTCTAGGCTCCAGAAAAACAGTAGGAAAATGACCCCACATATAATAGGAAACAAGAAATTATCTAAACAAGGGAGGAGATAAACCAAATAGAAATCAAAAAAACTATTCACAAAATCAACAAATCAAAAAGCTGGGTATTTAAAAAATATATGCAAAATACACATTCCACTGACCCGACTCACAAAGAAAAAACAAGAGAAAGCAAGAATTAGCAGCATCAAGGATTAAAAAGCCAACATAACAACAAACACTGCAACCATTAAGAAAATAATTAGAAGTTACTACAAACAACTGTATTCCAACAAATCAGAAGACCACCAGGAAATGGAAAGGTTCTTAGACTCCCATCACTTACCAAAACTAAGCCCACAGACAACAGAAGACCTGAACAAACCCATAACCGAGGCAGAGATTGATTCAGTGATTAAAGATCTTCCAACAAAGAAAAGCCCAGGCCCAGATGGCTTCACTGCAGAATTCTACAAAACATTCCAAAGAGAGCTAACCCCAATCCTCCATAAACTCTTCAACACAATAGAAAAGGAAGCAACCCTTCCAATCTCATTCTATGAAGCCAACATCACCTTAATCCCAAAACCGGAGAGATAATTAACAGAGAAGGGAAACTACAGACAGATCTCCCTGATGAACATTGATGCTAAGATTCTCAACAAAATCCTAGCCAACAGAATTCAAAAAATCATCAGATAGATTATTCATCCAGACCAAGTAGGACTCATCCCTGGAATGCAGGGATGGTTCAACATTTGTAAATCCATAAATGTAATACACCACATGCAAAAACTGAAGAACAAAAATCACATAATAGACTCAATAGACACAGAAAAAACTTGACAACATCCAACAACACTTCATGCTAAAAACTCTAAACAAGGTAGGCATAGAAGGAACAATCTTACAACATAATCAAAGCAATATATGAAAAACCCAACACCAGCAACATACTGAATGGAGGAAAACTGGAACCCTTTCCACTGAGATCTGGAACAAGACAAAGATGTCCGCTATCACCACTGCTATTCAAAATAGTACTACAGGTACTTGCAGAGGCCATAAGACAAGACAAAGAAATTGAAGGAATTGAAATGGGAAATAAAGAAGTCAAGCTTTCATTATTCACAGATTACATGATCCTTTACATAGAAGAACCAAGAGACTCAATAGAGACTGCTAGAACTTACATAAGAATTTAGTAGAGTGGAATGGTACAAAATAAATGAACAAAAATCAACAACCATATTGTATGCAAACAGCCCCAAGATGGAAAAAGATCTAACCACCAAGATACCATTCAAAACAACAGAGAAAAGTATGAAGTATCTGGGAGTAAATCTAACCAAGAGTGTAGAAGACCTCTTTGAAGAAAACTACAAAAACTTAAAACAGAAATTGAAGAAGACCTCAAAAGATGGAGAAACATACCATGTTCCTGGATAGGCAAAATCTATATCATTAAAATGTCCATACTACCAAAAGCA